CCCTCCCCCAATCACCGGGCGCCTTTCCCTTTCCTCTCCCTAGGAACTAGAAGTAAAACTATATTCTTCGGAATACAAATCACATTTCTACTCAACTGGGAATGTGATCATATCCATCATCTGGATAACCAGTTTTCCAAATCGATAACTAGAATGATGGCGTTCGTTCATGCAATGATCATGAATCAAACAGAAGAGCTGTTCTAACAGTGTGCGCATTGATGTTATTTCATTGTACACTTTCCTTTTTCAATACGGTACGATTGCTTTAGTCTCCCCCCTGGTGTTAATTGTTGACATTATTTTGGTCGTTGACCTAGTAGCTGTATGCTGGTGTTTGAATATAATGTTGTAACGGTTGGGCTCTCGCTGTGGCAGGCAGGAAACATGGGTGCGGGGGCTCTCGTGGCCTAGAGGTTAAGGTTTTGGCCTTTTTTTGGTGTTGACCTCTCATGCAAAGGACTCAGGTTCGAATCCGGGTAGCGACCGAAAAAAAAATTTCTTCTCTTAAATTGTCTCCTTTCACCTTCTTTCCAGCAATTTTCTGTAGTCTGCTTTCGTCTCCACTTTCTGCCCCCACCCCCTCACCTCTTTTGCCCCCTCCTCTGGGCTCCGGACTCTTTGTGCAGCCTTTCTACGACTACTCCTTGGGTTCTTCTTACTGATGTCTTTCAGCCACACCCCTGGTCTTGTGGTAGGAAAGATCTACACCTAGCCTTCTCGGACAAGGGTGAAAAATCTCGGAGGGCCCGTGTGCAAGTAGCGTACGTTAAAGATCCCTTGGAAGTTTAAATTCGAAAAGAGGAGGCTTCGGCCGCCACCCGGGCAAAATTCAAAATTTCCTACCAACTGAAAAAGATTAATGTGTTCAGCGCGCTTATATGACCTTATGCAGTTGCGAGCGCCGTAAAACACTTACCAAAAAAAACAAAAACAAAAAAAACAAAACAAAAAAAAACACGTGGGTTCGATTCCCGAAAGAGGAAGTTACGTGTATTTTACCCAGCAGCTCCGTCTGTTTACGGGAAATCTCCCATTTAGCCGTTGTTGGTCCTGACAGGCAGGTCCAAAACAGCCCGCCTCCTGTATGACCTAAATTGTTTCGATGTGGGCATAAAACATAATTTGTGTCACGATAGAGTGGAATCAGGGGCTCTTCAATCTGTGGCCATATGGATTTTTGGGTATCACCTTAAAGCTTGTTCATTTGTCTTGCTTTCAATACTTTAAAAAATGCCCATCTGTTTTGAATAGAAGTGAAGATTTGCAATTGAAGCGGGATGGGTCGCTGGCATCAGAGGTAAAATAAGGGAGAAAAGAGTCTGCCAGTTTGTCGATTTCCAAAGCATAAGTGTCCTTGGAAACTGCAAATTTACATACATGTAATTTGTTTGTGTTTTTTTATCAATGGTTTTCAGTTAAAGTGTGTTTTTAAATGGAAGCAAAAAGTATTGAGCCCCAAAAAAATCAATAAAAATCCTGACGGTACGGGAAATGCCGATTTCTTTGATTTCTTCATTTTGACAAGCGCTTGTTTTTTTTCTCTTGATGCCACATGTTTCCAGCCAAAAGCTGGTCCACTTTCCTTTTACCCCAGCGACCCGTGAGAGAGCTGTTTTATGTTATCAGAGAGCTTAGAATTACCTAGTGTACAATCTCTCAGGTGGTATGCAGTGTTAATGTGGCAGCAGCGACTTCATTCCCACAGTTTGTGCACGCCCCATGTACTCACTCGTCACTCCAGAGTTGAATAGATTATAAATAACGTATTACTAACCTGCCTATTTCTCGCAAAGCCCAACGCCGCCCGTGGAATAAATTAATAATGGATAGTTTCTTTGCCGTGCACGCAGAACAGAAAGTGCATGTTCCATTACTGCTCGGGGAAGTGGTTTTTTTATTATTCACTTGTCTTTTCTGTTTTTATGCTGGGATGTTGTAGGCCTATCCTGTCGTCCCCATTCAGCCTGCGCTAGCATTGATGGGCAGGTTCAAAACCAACGCTGTCCGCTTCCTAATTAATGATGCCCGTTTTGTTAGCGGGAGTGCAGAACATTTCCCGGATCAAAGCTGTGCGACTCACAAATTAATGATCCACAATATGTTGATCGAGGTTCAAAATAAATCCGGGATCAAAACTCCTTTCTCCCCTCTTCCATCACCTCCCTACTTCCCACCACACCTACTTCCTCCTTTCCATCCCCCCTCCTTTCCATCACCCCCCCCCCCCTTTCTCTCCTAGATGACCTATGTTATGTTGATGTTGTTGTTGTTGTTATTGTTGTTGTTAGCGATCCAGTAGCATCTGAGCGTTAACTTTTCTGCATGATGCCATTCTGTAATAGTTGCATGTTTGTTCTAATTGTTGTCGTGAGGGGTAGAGGCAATTAGATGTGTGGGGTAGCTTGGGAAGAAAACATCCCCTTAAATAGATCAGTTAGTTTTCTACAGAAGAACAGATGCTGTTCCACTGTCTCTGAGGGGTAGTCACATAGTGGGCAGGCAGCAGACTGCTTTACTCCAATTCGGTTGAGATGTTGGTTGAGGGGTAATAATAATAATAATAGATAGCATTTGTATAGCGCATATCCCCGCTCAACAGCAGGCTCTATGCGCTTTACACTATATTA